TCTGGGAGGTTTAGGGGATTTGGGGTCGAGAGGGCGTTTAGAAGTTTAGGGTTTCGGGCTTCAACGTTGTGGGTCTTGGGGCTTACGGTTGTTTCTTTTGAGGGGGCTTAGGGGGTTCAGGGGGTTTAGGGTTTGGCGTTGCAGCAGAAGCTTACGGCTTAGGGTTGTAGGGCTTTTGGGGTTTAAACGGTGTAGAGTTCTAGGATTCGAGGGATTCCGGCCAAGGGATCGTGCTTCAAATTTAGAGCGGCATTTATCGAACATATAAACCCTCAACCTTAAAACCCCAAACCCTAAACCCTCCTTCTGAGGCCCAAATCCCAGCAAATCCAATTGCGTGCGAGAAAGGAGCAGAAGTTACCCCTTAAACCCTAAATCCTAAACCCTAAATTGCGGGAACGGCGCGGAAGTCGGCCAACTGGCGCTCCAGGTCCGGAGACCGTTCCCGCGCCCGCGCCATGGCAAGGTCATATCAAGGGTCGAAGCTCTTTGGTTTGAGGGCCGTTTGGGGGGTTTAGGGTTTGGGGTTTAGGGTTTAGGGTTCAGGGTTTAGGGTTTGGCGTGGGTTTTGGGGGTTTTGGGGTTCCAAGCTCTTTGCAAAGACGGCGGTGACCGTTCGGGGTGTTTAGGTCTCAGGGTTGACCGTCCTCGGGCCTTACTTAAGGCTCTTAAGGGGGCGGCCCAGAGGCCCGTGCTTGTTGTAAGAGGGGTTCTTTGGAATGGCCTGGGATTTTCCCCGTTCTACTAGCAGTCCCTTCATCGGGAGTTCTGAGGGGACATTCTCTTAAAGTGTCCCAAGGGCCTACTTAGCTCCCTGCAGGTGGCAAGGCAAGTAAACCGATTGCTTTCGCAGCTTCCCTTCGCACGAGGCGACCAAGTCACCTAGGGACTGAAAAAGGCGGAGCGGACAGAGCATGCGCAAACGTCACGGCCAAAACCCTGAACCCCTAAAACGCCCTAAACCCCTAAACCCTAAAGCGCCCTAAAGCCCTAACCCCTAAAACCCTAACCCCCTAAACCCTAAACCCTACCCCCCTAAACCCCTAAACCCTAAACCCTAACCCCCTAAACCCCTAAACCCTAAACGCCCTAAACCCTAACCCCCTAAATGCCCTAAACCCTAAGCCCCTCACAAACCCATCCTGATGGAGGCTCGGCCTTGTTTAGGATTCAGGACTTAGAGAGTTCACAAGGTGTACAGGGCATATAGGTTGTTGGCCTTTCTAACATACATACATACAAACATACATACATGCATGCCTGCCTGCCTGCATGCATATGTGTATACACATACACACGTGTGTGTTTGCTGTTGTTGTGCTTGAAGGATAAGGGCGATGCCCCTCTAACTGTTAAAGCCCCTGCCCATGCAAGATCCATCAAACCTAACCCTAAGCTGCCGGGGCTTCGGGGGTGCATTAACATCGGCACCGCCACGTAGAGGTTTGGGGCTTAATAAAGGGGCCTGAATAATCTTAATAGGGTTTGGGGGGCTCTCGTTGTAGAATTTTAAAGGGGCCATAAGGGAATACTATTAGTGATTTTTTCCGACCCCATACTAGTTCAGGGTTTTAGGGTTGCGTTCGTGCGGTGTGTCAGGGTTGCCGGGGCTTTTGGGTTTAGGAGGCTTTGGGGGGTGTTGAGGGTCTAGGGTTTTGAGGCACCATGGCTCTGGATAGCTCTGGATAGTTCCCAAGACACCCACAACCCGCCACGTCTGGACAGGACATCCCATTCGACCCTGTTCCACATCTCCCAGTCTGCAAACCCTACAATGATCCTCGTCGTCCTGAACTTCCTACACCCTAAAGCCTAAACCTTCAACTTCCTGAGCCCTATAATCGCCCCTTCCCCAGCCCAACTCCCTCAACCCTAAACCCTAAACCCCAAACCCCTAAACCTTCAACTCCCGAAAAATGCCTGGTGGCTCAGGGCCATGGGCGGCAGCGTCAGCACGGGGATGCAGAAGACCCCATGGCTCATCTCAAACCTGTGAGGCCCAAGGGTGATGAGCTTTAGAGTTTAGGGTTTATAGGGCTTAGGGTTTACAGGGTTTACTGTTTATAGGGCTTAGGGTTTACAGGGTTTACAGGGTTTACAGGGTTTACAGGGTTTACAGGGTTTACAGGGTTTACAGGGTTTACAGGGTTTACGGGGTGTACAGGGCTTACAGGGTTTACAGGGTGGATTTTTTAGGGTTTAGGTGAAACCTTAACCCCTACTAAGCTCTAAACCCTAAACCCTAAACCCTAAAGGGCTCCCTGGCAGTTCCCCAGCTTCCTGCAGTCGTGGAGGTTGCGGCAGCAAAGTTGCCACACATCTGCGGCCTTCCGAACCCAACAGCAAACCCACAAACCTTGAAGCCACCATGCTTTCTTTCTTGCCCTCCTTGAGCCCTAAACTCCCTAAACCCGAAACCCTAAACCCTAAACCCTAAACCCCAAACCCCAAACCCTAAACCCTAAAGGCCCCAAACCCTAAACCCTCAAGTCACCAGCATCCTGCGAAAGGCGACAGTTGCGAATCAATCTCGGGCGGCTGCCAGGTCCCCAACGTCCCCGCAGCAACGCCTGCACTGCCGGGCAGTAAGAAATCCGGGGATCTTTATTCTAAAAGTTTAAGGCTGCTGAATACTGCCAGAATGTTGGGTACTACCGTCTGTCCAGAAGAAGGTCCAATTAACCCCCTGCCCTCAACCCGAAACCCTAAACCCTGATTTGTGTGGAGGCTGTGAAGGATCTGAAGGATCAGTTCGGGCTTATGGCGAGTTTTGGCCTGAGCCAAGCACTGGGGTTTCGGGTTTAGGGTTTAAGGTTTTGGGGGTTTGGGGTTTAGGATCTTGGGGACTTCACGTCCCCCCCCCCCAGACAAACTGCGATCCGAACCCAAGCTCTCGAGCTGGAGCTTATGGGTTCAGGACTTCTAGCGCATCAACAAACCCTTTGGGCAATTCTAGGGCATATAATTCTCAGTGTGGAGGTCTTGTGGGGTTTAGGGTTTAAGAGGGCTTATAGGGCCTAGCCCTATAAGCCCTGAACCCTATAAGCTCTGGAAAACCCTGAACCCTAAACCCTGAACCCTAAACCCTGAACCCTAAACCCTAAACCCTGAACACTAAACCCTGAACCCTATAAAAACCCTAAACCCTATGAGCCCTCTACAGCGCAGGCTTGCGAGCGCCTACGCAGCCCGCGGTGAGTGCCGGCCTGGTGTCTGATAGTTGGCATGGCTTCGGGCTTTCGGTGCCTTACATCCTGGTTTTCTAAAGGGGCTTTGAAGGTTTTTTTGAATAGGGTTTAGGGTTTAGGGTTTAGGGTTTAGGGTTTAGGGTTTAGGGCTTGGGGTTTGGGGTTTGGGGTTTGGGGTTTGGGGGTTGGGGTTTGGGGTTGTTTGGGGTTTGGGGTTGTTTGGGGTTTGGGGTTTGGGGTTTGGGGTTTGGGGTTTGGGGTTTGGGGTTTGGGGTTTGGGGTTTGGGGTTTGGGGTTTGGGGTTTGGGGTTTGGGGTTTGGGGTTTGGGGTTTGGGGTTTGGGGTTTGGGGTTTGGCAGTTAGGGGTTTAGGGGTTTCGGGATACTATAGAGGCCTTCGGATTGTCTTGGGGTATTTCAGAGGTTCCAGGGAGGTGTAGATCCCAGTGTGTTCCATTCCTCAGTTCAGGCCATTGAGACGACAGACGAAGTCAAGTCGCTTTGGGTATGAGATTTAGGGTTTAGGGTTTAGGGTCTTGGGCCTACTTCAACCAGAACGCAGAGAAATTGGGCAATTCAGAGTAGGGAAGACAATTTGAATATTCTTCACATGGGATGACTAAGCGACATAATGAACAATATTGAGGCACCTGTCTTGCCCCCCCAACGACGCTCAACGACGAAGCTTCTCCTTCAATGGCCATGCGTCTCTGGACAAACCCGAAACCCTAAACGCTAAAACCCCAAACCCCAAACCCCAAACCCTAAATCCTAAACCCTAAACCCTAGACCCTAAATCCTAAGCCCTAAACCCAAACGCTAAACCCTCATCGTACGACCGACTTTGGGCTGACAGATGCATGAGGAAACTGGATTGGGATTGGGAAATGGATTTAGGCGGTTTAGGGTTTAGGGCTTCTGTTTCGGGTTTAGGGGTTTGGGGCTTGGGGGTTTAGGGGTTTAGGGTTTAGGGATTAGGGTTCGTTTAGGGCTTCGGGTTTAGGTTTCGGGTTTAGGGGGCCAAGCCTGGTTGCCAAGAACAGAGCCATTGCGCTCGAGAGCTAACACGAGTCTAGTGGCTTGGTGTGGCGTTGTCCAGCGACCAATGCCCTTGACTGAGGACCCTTAGATTTTGGGTTTAGGGTTTAGGGTTGAGCGTTGTTACTCCTTCATTGAGGGGCATTGGGCTCTCTCGTTGCTTTGGTCACAGGATGTGGACACACAGCCTTGCCGGCTGGGCTGGCGCGAACACTGCCATGCTTGTGCACCATTATTGGACCTCTGCGACCAAATCTGGGACTCGGTGCAAAAAAAATGGTCCGAACGCCTGTTGTTTGGCGTCTGTAGGCAAGCAGCTAATACGTAACAACTCCCCAAAACCGTCTTCGAATTCTTAAGGCCCCTAAACTAAACATCGAACCGACTTGCGCAACGAGGTAGCAAGTTCTCAAAGCCATGTGAGCAGAGGATGGCTGCGGATAAGAAAGGAGGACACATAATCCCCTCCCCCCGAATATTAAACCCCCCTACCCCCCTACTATTAAATACCCCCCCCCCCCCCAGATACTACAATATAACTATGCTGGGGAATTCAATATTACGGGGTAGGGGGGGGTTGAATATTAGGGGGAGGGGATTGTATGGGTCTACGTAAACATATATATATATACATATAACTACACACAGCAAAGAGGCACATGCAGGCTCCAAGATTCCAAGCACTGGCAGTGCGTGATCCTGGCAATGCACGATACTGGCAGCGCGCGATCCGGCTTTTAACGCGAGCATCGACTCGTAGAGGCGAGACGGCCTTTTAATGGCGGTGCGCAAAGTAGCAGGTGCTGCTGAGAATCCGACGGTGACTCCCTATAGGTTGCCGCCGTGACAGCGGTGGCGCGTCTGGATCGATCTCAACTTCAACCAGCTCTGCAATGTTGCCAGACATCCCGGGTGGCTGCAGGTATGTGCTGCAGATTCCTCTCGACTGGAACTTTAGATGACGCGCAACAGCTCCTGGATTGCGGCACTTTGCAACCTTGGGAGCCCAGCAGTATGTTCCCAGAGACTCCAATATCCCTTAATTAAGGAATATACCTTAATTCCAGTAGGAACCCTATTAATTATGATTAAAGGTATATTCCTCAATTAAGGGGTTTTGGAGCCTCTGGGTTCATAGTATTTCTGGACAAACGAGCCCAGAAGCTCCCCGAAAAAGGCGCAAAAGGGCCTCAAAACCGCTGGGCTACCAAGCAACAATCTCGGGCCTGAGGAATGTCCTCCTCGTTTCGGACCATCCTGAAACGTAGGCACTTGGATCAGCGCACCTTAGGTTGTTTTGGGTACTGGGGGGGTTTCCGCAATTGGGGGTACGGGATTTGGGTCCTTGTCATCCTACTCTTCGGGGGGCTCCCTTTTACTATCGTAAACGCCAATTTCGGGTTGATTGAACGGGCCGAGGGTTTAGGGTCGAACTTTGACGGTTTGGGTCCCAAATAAGAAGCAAACGATTCGCCAAACTGATCCAAGACTCCTGAACCTGATTGATTTTGACTCAGCAACAGTCTCAGTCTGACTTTCCTCATCGAACTCGCCCAGATATACCTGAGGTCTGTGGGCTTTCTTAAAATTAGGGTCCCCTTTAAGACCCCTAAGTCTAGCAGAATCCCCTTGTAATGAAACCGACACAGGGACCCCTATTTTTCGGAAGCCCCCACCTCGAAGTGCGTGGTGTCATAAACATCTCTAGTCACCGAGAGCGGACGTCGAAAGGGAACGGCGCCAAGCAATGGCAGCCAATGGCATTTGATCAAGTACAAGGAGTTCGTGGGCTTGGCTGCCTGCTTTACCATCTTTGCGCAAGAGCCGCTGGCCGCTGTCAGCAGAAGCTGCGTTGAAAATGCCTCATACATCTCTTCATCCAAAGACTTGAAGTGCATTCCATTGGCGTCATGGACCTCCACACCGGGCTCGAAATCCTCTGGAGTACTCCTGCCATTGAGGAGAATCAAGTCAGGAAGGATATCGAGGGCTGCGCGCTGGGCTTTTTTCTGGAGGGCCTCTCTGATTGCGTCCTGGTGCTCGGTATCTTGCACCGCCCTCCACATGCGCGCAAGCACCACGAGCTGCATCTTGAAGTGGGTCTCCATAAGCTTGGCAAAGGGCCTACGATCTTCGACGCTCGTAAGAAAGTTTGGGGGCGTTAGGTCCACTGAGCTGGTGGCTAAACTCTGCTCAATTGCGGCCCAGCGGTTGAAGCTTGCACTCTTCTGAGCAGACTCAACCACTTTCTGCATCACCTCAGCAACCTCGTCATGCATCCTGTTGATTGAGGTCAGGGCATCACTCCATAGATCGTGGGTCATATACTCATCTAAAGACTTCATGTCGTCGATCTGCTCCTCCGCAATCTTGGCTTTTGCCGTGGCGACGCGCAGGGTCTCTTCAGCCACAACTTTATGGCTGACGTCCCACATCATAGCTTTCATCTTGGTCTCCAGATTGTGCATGTCCATCTTTGCATCTTCATTCATTTTTGCGAGAATTGCGTCTGCGGCCTTGTCGATCATCGTGGCGAAAGGTGGGGGCATGGGTGCTAAAACGCAAGCAGCTTTCATGAGGTATGCCGTAACAAACAAGGCTTTCTCGGCGTGTTCCTTGCCAGTACTCCCGCCATCGTCGTTCAGGGTGTAGTTCAGACCTTTCAAGAGGTCCTTGCCCACTTCGATGCACTTCGTCGGCGGACCCTCTCTCAGATGCCCAGCAGCAAGTTTCAGCCCGGAGCAGAACCAAGCAGCGATTGCTGGCTGGGCGCTCACGCTTCTTGTGATGTCTGCTACGGACTCTGACACTGAGACACTCTTCGAAAGAAGTTCCTGGCAAAGCTCTTTCTCTGGAGGCTCCGGAGAATCGTTCCGTTGCCCTGGCCTGGTCGTCCTTGCTTCCTGGCATTTCACCTTCGTGGCCTCGACAAGCTCCTTGGCAGCGTCTTCGGCAGCAGCTTGCCTCAGCCGGACCTCTGAATCTGACCGAGCCAACGGCAACCTTGCAGCCTCACATGTGCCCACGAGCCCCAGGGCCCAGGCCACAAGGAGCCTCATCACATAGCTGTGGAGCTGAAAACTTTGCTGAGTTTCGCAGAAACCACTTTGAGCTAAAACGGCCATGAACCCGGAGCCCTTGCAGCCTTTCTCACAGGCCAGCGTGCCGCTGCAACTTGTACTGAAACCATGACTGGACTGCCCCAACGCCCCAAACCCAACCGAAAAGAGGGGGCTAGGCGGCTTACTGTTTGAGACAACCGGGCAGTAGGTTGTCCTGGAACAGCTTGGTGGCAAACGTGGCCTCGATTCAAAACAGATGCTCGAATAGGCTCAAAAACACTGTCCTTGAGGGAGAGAGGGACGCAAATCTGGTAACCGCAAGGCTCCCTGAGTACTCCCGCTCCCTGAGTTTTTTGCGACGAATCTGCTTACAAGGATCCCTACTTACCTCCACCCCTTAACCTCGACCCCCGAGACTACGTCCTCATAGTTTAGAATTTAGGGTTTAGGGTTTAGTTTAAGGGAGAGGACGACCCGTGCAGAGTTTACCACTTCATTCAAAGGCCAACCATGCCTCGAAACCATGCTTCGGTCTCCCTCGACTCCCATGGCCTTGACCCTAAACCCCTACACCCTAAATCGAGGCCCTGAGCCCTTACCCTAGGCCTTTTTAAGAGTCCGTTGCCTGCTGCCGTACTCTGACGGTGTGGGCAGGGCCCCTAAATCCTAAACCCTAAACCCTAAACCCTAAACCCCTATACCCTAAACCCTAAGCCCTGGGCACCTTTCACGACCTTGCTGCAATGGCTGCGGGGTCGACCTGCCTTTGGCAAGATCTGGATGTTGGCGTCTCACGCCCTGGAAAATAAATGAACAACTCGTGAATCTTACCAGTCAAAAGCCAATCAACTATGTTTCGGGCAACTATTCCCCAAAACCACAAAAACCCCTACATGATATGTGCATGTAAATGAATAGAGTCAGTAGAGTAAACCGCTTTTTTGGGGGGGCAACTAAGCTTGGCTTGTCAGGCAGCGATTTCAACGAACGCCGCGCCGAGAAAGCGCTGTGGACCGGATGCAGCAGGAGTTGCTCCGCTGTTAAAACCATGGATGCGGCTTCAAGATGCACAATGCCCCCCCCGAAACCCTAAACCCCAAACCCTAAACCCCAAACCCCAAACCCCAAACCCTAAACCCTAAACTCCCTAAACCCTAAACCCCAGCAAAGTTCGCCTAGATGACGACTTCGACATAGCCGCCCGGAAGCGCGAGGGAGGACACCCTCTTGCACTCCGAGGGGTCGCCTTCGAGGCCCTGCCTCAGAAACTTTGGGACCTCGGCCTTGGCCATCGCCGCCCTCCAGCCCCGGCAGTTTTTGATGTCCAGCCGGGCCCCCGCCGCGATCAGGGCCGCGGCGCCCTCGTACTGCGCTGACTGCAGGGCCGCCATGAGGGGCGTGCGGCCGTGGCAGTGGACGGCGACCGAGGTCATCACCGTCTGCGTCCCGAAGCGGTGCTGCAGCGACTTGGCCGCGATCAGCACCCGGCCCAGCCAGTTCAGATCACGCTTCGGGTCATATTGGAAGTTCACGTCGGCTCCCAGGCCGGTGAGGTATTCCACCATCTCCGCGGAGCCACCCCTGACACTCATGGCAGTGTAGAGCGCCCGGGAGAGTTCCAGGGAATCCAGGGAGCCCACGGAGCTCTTTGCTGCTTTTGCGGCTTGGAGGAGCTCCTCCAGGGCGGCCCGGCCACCCCAGCCGGCGGCACTCTCCGGGGTGCCAAAGCCAGTCCTCTACTGAACTTCTTTAGGGTGCTTAGGGGCTTAGGGGCTTAGAGGGTTTAGGGGTTTAGGGGTTTAGGGGTTTAGGGGTTTAGGGGTTTAGAGGGTTTAGGGGTTTAGGGGTTTAGGGGTTTAGGGGTTTAGGGGTTTAGGGGTTTAGGGGTTTAGGGGTTTAGGGGTTTAGGGGTTTAGGGTTTAGCTCCTTCATGCTTCTCCCATGCCTGGGGTTCTGCCCGTGGTGGCCTTTTAAGGGCCTATAGAGCTTTCAGGGCCTACTGGACTTGGAACGCTAGCAACAATCATTTCATTGCTGTTTCTTCAGAATTATAGTAACTATTACAGTAACTATTATAGTAATTATTATAGTAACTATTATCGTATCTATTGTAGTAACTATTGTAGTAACTATTATAGTATAACGATTCTCGTACTACCAAACTGAAAAAAACTCCCAAGTTTCCCTAGGAGTCATACTGCTCACGCGGACGTCGCAGCTGGACTCGGAGAGGAGGCGGATGCCCTCCACGTTGTCGGAGGCGCACGCAAGGTGTATTGCGGGCAAGACTCCCCCCGTCGGCTGGGCTCTTCCGGCGATCAGCAGTCGCGCGACGTCGTTGTGCCTGTAGAAGACCTTACTTCTCCAATAAACAAAGAGAAAAAGAGGTCAAACTGTTTGGGTTCCTACTAAATAAGGGCAAACCCAAAAAGTTCATAAAGGCTGTTGGAGAAGTAAAAGAGACTGCCAAGTCCAGCGCCGACATCCAGGGCCCAAAACCCAGCTTGGGCTCGTCCTTGGAGGTGCGCCCATTAAGGTCGGCACGCAGCCGAAGGAGGGCTTCCGTCAGCTGCACCCTCCCTGACAGGGCCGCATAGTGCATCGGGCACCAGCCTGAAGCATCCCTCTCTCGGACCTTCCTGAATCCGTTCTGGTGAAGAAAATGCCCCGCCACATCCGCCACTTCCGCCACGCCCGCCGCATCGCACGAAGGGGACGTAAGCGGAAGGATGTCCTCCAAAGGCTCCACTTCGAAGCCTCGAAGGTGCACTGCTTGGAGGTTGAGGTGGCGGCGGTAGCTGGGCAAATCTCCGGCCCTCAGGGACAGAAGCAGCTTGCGCCGCACGATCGCCTGCATGACCTCGGCCAGCTTGGCTCGGTCGCCCTCCTCTGTGAACTCGCCTTCGCCAACAGAGCCGGTCACAAATGAAAACGCGGTGCCTACGAGCTCCATGGACGTCGAGCTCTGCACGAGAATCCACGTGTCGTGTTCGGAAAGCTCGCGCGCTGCTCGCTCAATCCGGCACCACCCGCGCCTGTAAGATCCACATTCTGACATACATGTTTTTGGGGTTTGCTTTACAATGTGTTGCTACTTTCTAAAAAAAGCTCCGGCAACAGCGGGATCCCCTCGCCTGGCCCAGGTCGACGCATTCAGCACCTGGCCCTGCCATGGGCAGTCGATTGTCGGGCACAGGGCGAAGAAGTAGCGGCACTTGGCAACATAAGCTGGGATGCAGTTGATGGCCTTCCGCTGCTTCATGTTCTCCTCATCTGTGGCGTAGCCTTTGTGCTTCTCCAGTTGGGGGACGGAGAAGAAGTCGTACCACAAGAACAGCGGCCGTGTCTGGAGCTCTTGGAAAGAGATGCTTTTGGCAGAAGCCACGAAGCTCTCCGTTACGAAGTCTGGAGGGATGGACCCTTGGCTCCTCAGGACACGCCTCAAGGTCTCCTGCAGCACCCTCATCTGCCTCATTTCAGGGTCGGGGTGCTGCTTGGCAACCCACTGATGTGAAATAAATGCAGCGCTCCCCATGCTGTCGTCGAAGACCGTGAGATCTCCCCGAACCTGCGCAGCGCTGTGCGGTGCTACGAAAACCGCCCAGGAAAGAAGCGTATAGGGTTTAGGGTTTAGGGTTTGGGGTGAAGGGTTTAGGGTCTAGGGTTCAGGGTTAGCATGTAGTTCAGCATGGTCTCGTAAAGTGTAGGACAAGTTGATGAGGGAAAATGAGGAACCCCAACCCTAAAACAGGGAAATCAGGGCCTACTCCGCGTCCCAAAATAGTGAGCTCCGACCCACGAACCCTAAACCCTAAACCCTAAACCCTAAACCCTTAACCCTAAACCCTAAACCCTAAACCCTAAACCCTAAACCCTAAACCCTAAACCCTAAACCCTAAACCCTAAACCCTAAACCCCAACCCTAAAACAGGGAAATCAGGGCCTACTCCGACCCACGAAGCCAACCGACACTGCACTCCAACCCCTCGACTTCGGTCCAAAGGATTCCTAGAAAGGAACATCAGGGTGGCAGAGTTTAAGGTTTGGGGTTTGGGGCTGAGGGTTTGGGGTTTAGGGTTTAGGGTTTAGGGTTTAGGGCATCTTCAGAAAGACCCATGATTCTGCAAAGATCGCAAAGGACTCCGCGATCTAAAGCTACCAGGGGGAAATCACGAACTATTTCACGGGGCCTTGTCTGACGCCGTGCTGACCGAGAGTTCAAAAAAGCTTCGCACGCCAAAGCAGATACCCCCCTCACCTTAAAGCCCTCAGAGCCTTAAGCCTAAATCCATACAGCCACAAATGCCCTGAATAATTAGAATAGCATAGTTATAGAGGGACCCTACGGGAATACTTTTAGTAATTATTCCGACCCCTATTTTACGGCTTCTCAGGACTCGGCCCTCGGATCTCAGGTTTGGGCTTTGCCTTGTGACATCGAATTCATTTCAGGCTTAGGTCTGGAGTTTGGGGCATATGCCCCGAGCTTTGAAGACAAAACCCCCTGGTAGCAAAAAAACATGCAACATATTGCGCCGAAACAAGGTCCTGTAAACCCTACACCCTAAACCCTAAACCCTAAACCCTAAACCCTAAACCCTAAACCCTCACACTTGCGCAGCTGCCTTCAGCTTCTCGTGCGGCTCAATCGCAGTCATATCCTGCTGGGCCCATTCGCTTGCTTGAAAACTCTCCGAAGTGCTGGGTGGGTTTAGGGTTTAGGGTTTAGGGTTTAGGGTTTAGGGTTTAGGGTTTAGGGTTTAGGGTTTAGGGTTTAGGGTTTAGGGTTTAGGGTTTAGGGTTAAGGGTTTAGGGCTTAGGGTTTAGGGTTTAGGGAATGTAGGGTTTAGGGTTTACGGTCTTGGGTTCAAGTTCTCACCCAAAACCTACTTCGGGCTTCCATACGCACAGTTAATTTCTGTGGTTGTGGGCAAGCACACTGTACTTAGGTCTTTTGACCCTTTGGTCTTTCTTTTTTTGGGGGTGCAAGGCTCAAAAAAAAAACCCAAATCTAGACTTTGGTCATCTGATTCCTTAGCACAGTGCAAAAGCCCTACGCCCTTATGGCTTTGGAGGAGCAGATCTCCAGCAGGCTTTTGGCGGCCACGGTGTACATGGGGAACAGCATCGGAACAGCCTTAGCTGCTAAACTTTAAACCCTGAAGTCTTTCACAATGCTGACCCGCACTCCTGGATGAAGGGCATACAGCAATATACGATACTATACTCTTCTATATTGTGCCGGGGGCATATGGTAGTCTAGTATAATTGTATGGTCCACTAAATAGTTTAGGGTTTAGGGTTTAGGGTTTAGGGTTTAGGGTTTAGGGTTTAGGGTTTAGCCTAAGAGCATCATCTGCGGCGGCCAGCGAGACAGCGTGCAGCTCCAAAGGTGTCGGCCATCTTCTCGTCAGGCACGACATGGAGCCCTGCGTCGCGTCCCTACCCTAGTATGGGGGTACCAGGGTTACCCTAAACCCTAAACCCTAAACCCTAAACCCTAAACCCTAAACCCTAAACCCTAAACCCTAAACCCTAAACCCTAAACCCTAAACCCTAACTATAAACCCTAAACCCTTATACACCCTAAACCCTAAACCCTAAACCCTAAACCCTGTGGGGATGTATGGGGGTATCAGGGTTACTTTTCGCGCCGCCCTCAAGGTTTAGGGGTGAGGGTGATCCCCCGAAGATCCAGATGTTTTTCAGGGTTTAGGGTTTGAGGGTCGTCGTTGTCCCATGAGCCTGAAAGTGGCGCGCCCGGGTGAGAACGATTCGAAGCGAAACGACACAGCGTGCGCCGCGCTTGAGGCTGCGCTCGGAATGGTGCAAATTGCTGCAAAGGGCATTCGTGATCTCCTTTTTTCGAGTCTTCACGAGAAAGAGCTTTGCATTCAGTTCTGGATCGGGCCATCCCCTTCGGGGGCCGAACGAGGGAAACAGCAATGCCATGGAACGGAGAGATTCGACAAAGCTACTTCGAAATCGCTACACGTTCCTTCTAGATTTTCTTTGAAAGGTCCGCAGGTCCTGAAACTGGAGCGGGCACTTTGCTAAGCATGCAAAGATATCAGGTATCAAGCAGCCGAGCACTCACCATTCAACATCTTGGTCATGTCAGACACGGATCCATCCACGGATCCATCTTGACCTGAGAGCAGTGACTACAGCAGGGCCGGACTGCAGTTTGCTGTTGTGTGAGGGGAGAGATTGCTCCTTTCCCTAACCTTCGATTCCGCCCTCCCATCTAGCATCTTTCCCTCTTATCACCTGTTCCCTGCGCACCTGGCAGATGGCGAAGCGCTTCGCCAGAAAGTGAAGCTCCTGGGCACATAGTCCCGAATCTCGGAAGTGCCACACCGATGCATCACACCGATGCATCACTTGATGCTTCACGTAGGATTCCGGTGTGTTCCAGGGGAGGATCGGCCTGCGCCCATAGCGCCATAGGCAGAAGAGCAGCACGGCCACGGCTGTCCTGAACACTCACAAACCTGTTATAGTGGGAATTCCAAACTCAGGATACCTGCATTCCTGCTTGGGGATTGTAGTGTAGTTGGGGTTCCGTGGCCATCTGCGCCAACCGCCACCAACCACATCAAGCCTGGGGTCCCCGCGAGAAGATGCGCCGCAGTAAGATGAGCCGCCTTGTTTTGGGGTCCAGGGTTTAGGGCTCTTGGAGGGCCTACACTGTCAAACTTTCAATAAACAACCCCCGTGAAATTATGAAGCTCATTCCGAATAAGGTGGAAAACGGAAAACGCCTAATGCATATCCAAAAACGCATGTCCACAAGTGCATTCTCCAAAAATGCATGTGCCAAAAACGCACACCCAAATACGCATGCCGCATGTCCAAAAATGCATGCTCCAAAAATGCATGCTCCAAAAATGCATGCTCCAAAAATGCATGTCCAAAAATGCATGTTCCAAAAATGCACATCCAAAAATGCATATCCAAAATTGCATGTTCCAAAAATGCATGTCAAAGCAAAATGTTCTGAGAATGAGCTCGCCCCTAAACCCACCCTCGCTGCGCCCGGCATTTTTGGATATGCATTTCTGGACGTGCATGTTTGCAAGATGCGTTCTTGGACGTGTGTGTTTGGACATGTTTTTCGGAACATGCATTCTTGGGTAGGCATTTTCGGAACATGCATTTTTGGACATGCGTTTTGGGATACGCATTTTTGGAACATGCGTTTTTGGACCCGGTGAGAACATGCGTTTTCCGCGATTGCGGGCTTCCCAGACCTCATTCAAAATGAGCCTCATAGCCGTAAAAGCCCCATAAGCTCTATGAACCCTCGCCTCATAAGAACAAATAGCTTGTAGACTCAGTGTGGACCCTATACAAACCTGTCAAATTCCTATAACAACCCAATCAAGACCCTATAAAAATCTGATGAAAATCTATAGAAACCCAGGAAAGACCGATAGAAAAACCCTGTCACGACTCTATCAGAACCCTGCATTAAAACCAAAAAACTATCAAACCCCCTTTATGAAGACCCGGGAAGGAAAAACAAATGAGCCCTGTAAACCGCCAGGCTGTAGAACCGAGTTTTCAGAAGGTTGCAGACTTCGTTGCCATAATTTCGGGGTTTAGGGGTTTAAGGGTTTTGGGTTCATAGGGGGTTAGGGTAGCTCGAGCCGGGGGAAAGCGAAGACGCGCAAAGCTTGGGGTGTGAGGCCCCGTGTGGACGCCCTAAACGCCCCAAACTGAAGGTGAACTGCAACTCTAAACTCTGAAACTCTCAAGCCTAAACCCCCAAAAACCCTAAACCCTAAACCCTAAACCCTAAACCCTATACACCTCCCGGAACCCTTCATCGGAGCTGCCCTCCCAAAACCACTTATGAGCTGCCCGAGGTCCCTGCCACGCCGGGGCCCCTAGCGCCAGCTGGCCGATGTCCCCCTGGGGCAAGTGAGGGCACTATGGACAGGAGTTGAATGTTTGAAACATGGGGCCGTTTTGAAGTCTTGAAGTTTCGAGGCTTGAGGGTTGGCAAGTTTGGAGCTTCCTGAGTTCGAGAGTTTTGGAGTTGGAGCTTTTTACAAAGGTTCGAAAGTGAAAGTTTGAGAGGGTCGCCATCAGGCGCAGGCGTCCACCAGCGCTTGAGGTTCGAGAGCTTGAGGGCTTGAAGGCTTCAAAAGTTTGGGGAAACGTCTGGAAACCGAAGCCCTGAAAGTTTTAAAGTTTGTTTGGGGAATTTGGGGTTTGAACAGTCTGCAGACTGAAACTTTGAATGTTTGCACGTTTGAAGTTCGAAAGCAAGCTTGAGAGCTTGAGCGTTCGAAAGTTGGAGGGGGGTGGTGGGGGGGGGGGGGGGTGCTGCGGGGGGCGAGTTCGAAAGAAACATGCGACGAGTCGCAACTCTGGCCGAGCGTCCTTGTGGCACCTGCACCAACTTTCAAGCCTTGAAGCCGCAAACCTTCCAAAGCTCGAGCTCTCAAGCTTTGAAGCCTGCACTCGGAAACGGCGAAAGCTTGAAGCTTGAGTTTGAGAGCAGCATTTTGAACTCGAACGGCTGAAAATTATACGGGTCTGGAGTTTCAAAAGTTCGGAGCTTGAACGTTTGGCTTGAACGCACCTCTCGCGCAAACCGAAGCTCTGCAACTCTCAAACGTTCCAACCTCCAGAGATGTCCAATTCCGAGCTTTCAAAACGTGCAATCTTTTGAGTTCCACGCTTTTCCAATCCGCGCAAACCTTCAACTTCGAAACACCCTCGGACACTATTCCAAATCGTGAGCGAGGGGGCGAGTGCGAAGTGGGGGAATGGGGTAAAGAGCTCATGGTTCAATTTCTCCTTCGTCGAGGATAGTCATGTCTACTCTACAACTGCTTGCTAAAACCTGAGACTTGTTATTCCTGAATACAACCATGAACATAAAACGCTAAGTCTCCCCCAAACCCTGATTCACAAAACCAGATATGGACAGCCTGACGGCTTACACCAGAACACTCGAGAGCACTTGAGCAGCACTTGGGAGGGTTATTGGGCGCGCTTGCCTAGCTTCCTACAATCTCCGGAGGCCCCCAAGTCGCCGTTTAGGGTTTGGGGTTTGGGGTTTAGGGCTTAGGGTTTTGGGGGGGTTTGTGGTTTAGGGTTTAGGATTGAGGGCTTATGGTTTAGGGGGGTTTGTGGGTTTGGGGTCTGTGGGGTTCGCAGGGTTTAGGTGTAGGCTCCTTCCTGGCCACTGGGCTTGCAAAGGCAGTTGTTGAGAAGGTTTTTGGGACTTTTCTCAAACCCGCACACTTCAGCAAAACAAAAAACCAAAGAACACAGCCAAAATCGTAAACCCTAAAGGCCCTGAACCAAGGATTGCCAGGCAGCTGTCACCTTGTGAGCAAGCCGAGTTGAAGTGGGCACCTGCCAACACTGCAATGACAGTCTCTCCGCTCTTCACATCAGCGCCAGCACGTGTCAATAGAGACCAGCATTCAGACAAGACTCAGTAGTTGCTGTTAGGACAGAAAGATGTTGTGAGCGCACGCTGCGAATTATGGCGTAAACGTGGAGGCTGATGAACTTGCTTCGCAAGCACCAACCCACTCGTTCGACGCCTCCACGATCTATCTGGCGACCTGGACGGTGCTGTGACAAGTTACTGAGCTCAGACAACAAGCTGCACTGCAACGATTCAACATGCAAGAGAAGAAAGCTCGCGCTCCTTTTATCACGCTTGCAATCGGCAGACAGAGGTCATCCATGGAAACATGTCCGCAAGCATCCACCCTTTGCACGCTAAGCCGCTAAGCATCACTGACTATCATTCCCTGACCCGACGAGGAACAATGACCCTTTGTGCTACATGTGTCATCCTGGGAATGCTTGTGGGATCGCCTCTTGCCTGCAATGAAATCTTCTGATGTCTGAATATGCCGCGGAATACCAAGGTTGCTCAATGTCGCCATCATGGCATCATCTTCCAGAATTGCATCGACCAACAAGAGCCGCGCTTCATCCTTCGAGCTGGCAGCCCGCCCAATATACTGGCGACAGGTACCATGCTTCTGCAGATTCAGGATTGCGCACACCCTTCCACCATCGAGCTTGGAATACTTCACCGTGGGAACATATCCCGCTTGCCTTGGTGGCAGATGCTGCGTAGACATGCGCAACACCGGCAAATGAGATGCGAGGGCGTGCAGCCAGCTGCTAAACATGGGTCTGAACTTGATGTTCGTTCTCGCCCTTCTTCTTCTGCGCGCTTGAGAGGACCCCCCTTGTAAAGGTTCTCGCCCTCTGTCTCTGTCTCCCTCTCCCTCTCCCTCTCCCTCTCCCTCTCCCTCTCCCTCTCCCTCTCTCCCTCTCCTCTCCCTCCCTCTCCTCTCCTCTCCCTCTCCACCTCTTCCCTTGGTTTTTTGCATGCTTTTTTTTTTTTTTCTCTCTCTCTCTCTCTCTCTCTCTCTCGCTCTCTCTCTCTCTCTCTCTCTCTGTCTCTCTTTCGCTCTCTCTCCCCCACTCTCCCTCTCATCGCTATGTCTCCCACTGACTCACGCACTCCATCCAACTAGCAACCATACAGCACACAATCACACAGCTGTTCGCAGGATCTCCGGTTCTTCTTCATCGGCCACTACAAAAACTGCAAAGGCTTCGCTAGGAGCTGGGCTGAAGCTGGCTTCTGAGGATCTGAAAGGCATCCTCCTCAACACGTTTTCGCCGCATGTTTTTCTCGCCCTCCGATCCCAGGCGCTGAGCATCGTCGGGAGATGAGCAGTTGCAGGAAGGTTGCTGGTGGTGGCAGCCATGATGTGAGGTCATCCTGCAAACGTTTTCATGAGCTGGATGGTTCCTATGTTGAGCTCTGCACCATCCTGTACGCGCGAAGATGCTCAAGGTGAGCAATGGCTAATTTAAGTAAAGCCAGAAGCACGTCTGCGAGCATAATGCTTTAGCAGCTGTTGCAGTCTGCGATTCCTACTGCTATTCATGTACTGCATCATTTAGCCACTTCTTGCGAACTTCGATGGTCTTGTGCTTGCCTGCCTGCGAATCCAACAGCATTCTGTAAAATGTCAAGCAGCGGTCTCTTCGCTGAAGTGCGCAACTCCATTTATCAGCTGCGATTAGACCCGGCCGCCGGAACGCATCTGCCCAAACTCCAAAATCAGCTTATGCGGCATTAGGCAAGGAAAAGGATACGCAACAGGGTCGCTCTCCTAGAATTTAGGCTAGCTTAGGGGGTAGGGCTTAGGGCAATCTTTCCCCAACCTGACCGATTCAAGCTTCACATGTGAAAGTGCCCCAACAGTCTGGACCCCAGCCTTCGGCAAGAGGGTCGGGAGGCTGCCAACCTGTGAGCGCATGGACGGCGCTAAGACTTTTTTGGAGGACTCCAACTGCCTTCTTACTTGGCCTAATTACATTTAATTACCAATTTCCAAGCTAATGAAGGAAATCCACTGGATGGCCTTCTGTGCTTGCGCAACGTGCTGATCACAAAAGCTGTTAAACAAACTTTTCCCGCGCACAAGCCATCATCAACGGATGTTGCAAGCACATCTTCCGGCCGAATGTTTAACGTCTGCGGCACAGCATTGCAACAAGTTCTCATGGTCCTTGCATCCCTAACGTTTTACATAGACACACAAAGTCCCCCAATTTCCAGACCAACCGATTGACCATCACAACGTTCGTCTGCAGGCGGCGTATGACCCGCTACTAGTATCAAAGCAAAACAGCGAATCAGATTTGGGCGCCGCCCCAAGATAAAGTTTGGGTGTACCGACACTCGTCCGAAGCTCATCTCTTATCTCACCGAAGCATGGCAGCCTATGGCATGTCGAGATTTTTTTGTAGCCTGCCACGTGGCCTCATGAGGCCTCACGACTTCCGGACCCATAGTTCTTAGGGGCCTTAAGAATTAGAATAGGGTTATTATAGTATACTTATAAAGCGACCATAAGGGGAATACTGTTAGCACTTATTCCGACCCCTATATTAAACATGTGTTGACACATGTGTTAAACGCCAGGGCAGTGCGAATATGCAGCTTTCAACAAGGCACACAAGCTGTTGCCCACAGAAGTCCCGCCTCCTCTTGCTTCACAGTTTCCTGCAAACGACCATGTTCAACTCAAAGGTAAATGCTTGACACACCTCATTGTACATAGCTTGAAAGGCCAAGTCTATGCGCTGGTCTCTAACAAGGAATGATGGCTGCTCTCCGGCCTTCTTCCAGATCCCATGCGCAACACGTGTCCAACCCATGCTGGAGGGCCGGGGGCAGAACTTCACCGAAATCAAGCTTGGTTTATCTTTGCTTGAGGTGCGTTGGGAAGCAAGAGATTTTCGAATCGGAAGCTACATGAGGAACCAAGAGCCGGAAGAATGAAGCTGCTGCATGTTCTCGCACACATCACGCGACCTTCGCGGAGATGTGTTAAACCCCAGCGAGCCTATGAGGAGCCTGGGATACAAGGACACAAAGTCTTTCGTCCCGCGTCAATCCTGTAGCTTCCACTTCACCGCGGTGGGAGTTGCGCCTTCTTTCAAGCCTCTTACGGTTTCCATGAGGACTTGTTGGCAACCTCGCAGCCTGCGTCACCCTCACAACGACTGCCTGCACACCACGGAGTTTTTTTCCCTGCTCTTTGCTTCGGGGCGCGTTTCGCTGCCCCACCTGCCAGAGTCGCTGGTGATCGGTGCTGCTTGAACTGTTTCAGGAATCGGTGGATGACAGAAAGGGCGGAGTTTGTTCTGCATGGGGGCTGGGCAGGGCGGAGGAAAACCAAGGGCCTCGGCTTGTGCTGCTGCAGCTTTCTCCTGCGCCAGCGTGGCCGTCGGCACAACCTTAGCCGCTGGGCTCCCCCTTTTCCGAATCCACAATGAGTTGGACCTTAGGGCTTAGGGTTCTTTAGGGATCCCTAAGCCCGACGTTTCTGGGGCCCTCTAAGGGTTTACAAGGGTTGCAAGACAGACCAAGGCTAATGGGGCCTGAACGAAGACACGCCTGCCCAAAAAAGAGGAACAGCCAGCAAAAAAAAAAACTTCCCACAGCCTCTGGGCCCCCGCGCGCCTTCCTTCGCAAGGCCTGCAAAGGGTCTGCAAAAGGAATCGAGGCCCCATGTTGAAAGGGGAAGGGCGCCATAAGTGCTGTTGCACGGGCCTAGAGACAGAGCCACCCAATCGTCCAGAGCTTTGCTGGCCTGGCGCGGTTGACAGCCGCTGTCGTTTGGGTTGCGGGTGCTGCCTTCAAGCAGCATGCTCTGCGTGCTGGACTAACATCGGAGAACGGTGCGCGTTAAGGTACCTTTTTGACTTCTGAACCTAGCACCCCCCCCCCCGCCCCCTAAGCCCTGAACCTTGATCCCCCCCAAAAAATCTCCAACCACAGCAACATGAAATGCCCCACGAAACTCCCTCAAGGATCCTCCAGGCCTACTCCGACAACCCCATACCAGTACCCGGATCCCCTTTTGGATACAACTCAGAAATCGCAAGCATTGCATCCGCAAAATGCCTCTAGAGCGCTTGCGGCGGAGGCTTTCTGCGACCCGCATCCTTGACTCGCGACCTCCCCAATTTGGCTTTGCATTTGCAGTGTGCTCACGCCGCTTCGTACAAGAGGTTCAGCGTTTTGGGCTTAGGGTTTAGGGTTGCGGGGTGTAGGGTTATAACAAAGGGCCTTGCTGTTGAAGGGTTTAGGGTTTAGGGCTGAAGGGAACTGCTAGGGTTGCAGCTCTAGGCTCTTCAGGACTGGAAAGTAGTTTAACACGAGGGGCAACAGCCTACAACGCTGCCTGGCTGAGGGAATGAAATGTTGCTTTACGCTCCCCAGTTCACCAAGCAGCCTCCCTGCGTGCAAGCGATGCAGGAAACTCGTTCGAAAGCTTAAAAGCAATCCACACAAGAACTCGGCGCAACTCTTCCATGGAGGGTTTTGAAGCAAGAAATAATTCGGGGCTTAGGTCAAGGAGATTTTCAGGTGGGGAGCTATCGGGCGCGCACCCGTGCTTCGTAAGGCTCTTGCGTGAGGGGAATAGTAGGGGAACATCCCCACCTGAAATCTTGCTTCAACAAAAGCTGATGTAAGGTGTTTGTGTTTCGCTGAAAGCTTTTTATTGGGGGGCTTCTCTCTGCTAGAATGCTCCGTATCGTCACAAAAAGCCCATCCAGACCAACCCTTCGGCGTCAACTCGGTTGGCCCTTCAAAGCCTCGGAACAAGATTCCAAAACAAGATCCTATGCAACCCAAGAAGGAGAATTGGGGAAAAATCTCCCAAAGGCACCCAGACAAGGGAGATGACGAAAACCAAGGGCCTACCCAGCTCCCTACCGCGAGAACTGCAGGGGCACCTAATGTTCCTGGACAGTTCGGTCAACTGCCGTATGCCTGCCAACCGGGTCTCAGGCTTTTGGAGTTTGAGGGGTTTGTAGGGTTTAGATTGCGTTAGGGGTGTAGGGTTGAGAGGTTCGGGGTTTCGGGTTTTAGGGCTTCTGAATCACACATGATTCTGCGCAGATCACAAAGGACTCCATGTAAGCTACCAGGAAGAAATGACAAGGGCCGTATCTAACACTGCGTAGAAAGTTCAAAAAGCCTCGCCAGCAACCCAGACACTCATTCAAAACCCTAAACTCCCAGAGCCCTTAGAGACTTCAGGCCAAACCCCTCTAATCCCCTCCCTCTTATATTCTAACCCCTCCCACCCACCCCCCTTATATCACCCCATAGATTCCATTATAACGATAGTGGGAGTTTAATATGAGGGGTACGGGGGGGGGGGGGGTGGCTGAGCAAAATAGGGTCTATTTAGAAGCTACCGCCTGGGATTATTAATCAATTTTAGCATATCCAAGACAACCCAGCTACTTCTCCAACAACGTCTCACGCATATGCGCACTTAGACAACTCATTTCGGACTGATAAATGTTTTGGCTCTTGCAATCTCAGACCCTAAGCCCGGAACCCTGACCACAAATTCGTACACTCTAAAACCCTACACAAGAAACTCTATACCGTATTTCCTAAATTTAAACTCTAACTCCTGAACCCAGGAGTTAAGAAAGAAAAGGAGGAAAAAGAAAGAATCATGTGCAGACGTTCCTGTGTTCCTATCTTCGGAGTTCTTCTATTCCTATCTCTGCTGATTTTTCAGAATGGAAGGAGGGCTTCATTTTCCCTCTCACTTTTCCTTTCACTTTTCTTTTCTCACTCCAAGCAGAAGGGAGAAGACAAGGGAGAGAGGTGAGAGATAGAGAGCCCCTTACAGCTCAATAAATAGAAAGGTGACCAAAATGGATGAAAAGATCGCCTGCTTTCATTTCTAAACGGCCTGTCCCCGCCTTCTTTTCTTTGCACAGTGCAGACATAAATAAACACGAAAGAAGAAAGAGGGCCTTTCCCTACTATTTCCTTCGCTATCCTGGAATCCTGGTTCGGAAAAGAAAGGAACAGCTACCAGCCCCCCTCCCGACTTTCATCTTTCCATTTCTTTTGTTTCGTCACGCTCAAACGGACAGAAGAAGGGCGGCCTCTAGTGTTTCCTCGCCTCCTTCTGCACTGTTATAACTTCCTTTCTTTTCTCTTCTGTTGCTTTGTGTGACAGGTGCGGGGGCATTTCTTTCACTTTTCCCATCGAAGAAAGGCTCCCTTCCTATCCGCATATTTTCTTTTCTCTTCCTTCCGAAAAAGACTATAAGAGGCAGGGATAAACAGAATGAAAGAGGAGTCTCCTTTTGCTTTCCGACTACCTTCTCACCACAAAAAGGAACCCTTCTCTTTCTTCCCTTGACTTTCTTTTATCTTGTTTGCATTC